ATATTTAATTATTAATTACAAAGGTAATTAATTTTGTATTCGATAATACCGATTGGGATACCGAAATATTTAGGGATTGGGATACCGAAATTATTTAGGGATTGAGATTGAGATTGACTTTAGTGTATAATTCAATATTCGCGATTTCAATATTTGGTATTGTGATACCGTACCCATTTTCACCCCTAGCGGCAAAGGTGCTATTATCTTTTCCCCTGCCGTTTGCGGCAACGAAAGTGCCATAACGGGCTGCCCAATGGGCCTCCCTCTTCAGCCCTTTTCACTTTTTATTATCATGTTGTTGTTCTCTCCACCCGTTTCTTTGATTTTTCATTTTTTCTGCCTTATGTACCTAAAAAACAAAGAGATTGGGGACCAAAATAGGGGACGACCTTTTTATGTTGTCTCAAGAAATAGTTTTCTTAGTCATATTAGGGACAAACACACTATATTGTCTCCACAGAATAAAGGATGTAGTTTTTGTATTTAATTAGTTGGTTTAGTTGTCCCCATAAATATTTCGAAGGAATTGTTAATTGGAGGTGGACTTTTTTTATAATATTGGGGGTGGATTTTTTCATGAGCGGATCAGGAGGATTTTACCCCGCTAAAATTGGCAAGGCAGCAATATTTCATTCACTGGACTTTAATTATTATGAATTTCTTTTAACTATGACCTTTTCCTTTTCAATCTTGGAGAGTGAATCCTTTTCCTTTTCCATTTGGTTTTCTGAATTATGAGTTTTATTAGTAGGTTTATAATTAAATAGGTGAGTTTTGTTTTGCCAAACATCAAATTCTGCTAGCTGCTTTCGTATAGAAACTATTGATACTAGCAAAGGAAGACGCTGAAGAATTGAAAGAGCTAGCATAAACCATCAGTATATTTCCTTGTTATAAGAAACTAACCGGATCAACGGCCGGGCCAGTAGAATCGTCAAACCAGTTACGATAGCGGTCCGGTTCATTGTTTGAACGGTTATTGATGGACCAAACGGATTTTCACGGTTCAACATAAAATCAGATGAACCGACACGGTTTAGCTGGTCCATTGGTTCACTATTTTAACAAAAAAAATATTTTAACATAAACTAAGACCATCAAATCATAATTATTAATTTATATATGCTTCCTCAACCTTATTGTCGATTTTACATTGTCTACTACCAACTAGAACCGTAATTTTCAATTTGAATTAAAAAATGTGGTTTCTTTTGTGAGATGATTGGAATGATTTATTAGATATGTTCGTGATGATATGAATTTGAACTTGTTTATGGTCAATGATAATTTCATTCTTATATGTTATATATGTCAATGATAAATTAGTGTAATATACAAGTCTTATATGTTATATATTATTAACGGTTCTATCAACGGTTCACCAACGGTTTTGTAACGGTTAACCGGTGAACTCTTAAATCACTAACTTTTCTGGTTCAGCCTCCGGTCTGGTTATGAAAACAGAGGTATATTTAGAACTTACGATAAGCTCATTTCTTGCACCCAAGCTAGCTTTTTCCACATGAGGTATGGGTTTACTAACTTGGTTCAGTTAATCCGTTTTTAGCAATGTTTTAGAAATCTTGTCGTATTGATTTGTTGGAATGGAAATATTTGATATAAAACACCAAATGATAAGTAGTTTTATCGGTACGAAATGGTAGAACTAGAATTTCAACACGATTATAATACAAAATACTTTATCACTAACTTTCCAATATAACTTTTGGTATGATTTCACAATCATTGTTTTTATATGTCATTGCTTCAGAGCACTGTACTCCTGTCCGTAAACTGAAACAACTTGGTCGATATTGTGCCATTAGTCCTTTAATATCATATGATTGGTATTTGGTAAGCATGGTCAATCGTACTGCTTCGTCGATCGATCCAGTGATCACCACTTATAATTTTGTCTCCTTGGTAACAGGGGCAGAGCCATGATTTGAACTTGTTAGATTAAATTACCCATTCTATTATCACTATTTTTCATTCATAAAGTGTTTTCCCCTTTGTTTTATCATAAAAAATAAAATTTATGTGTATTTTTTTTAAATAACATATAAGAATGTGTCGACTTGTCCCGACCTGTATCTACGCGGATTTTGCCCGACCCAACCCGGAGTAGCATGGTGCGGAACACGAATATTGAGTTACCGCCCCGCCCCGTCCCGACCTCTCTCTCTCTTTTAGTTTTCCCCCTTCCTTTGGCTAGATCTGTGACGGTAAAGGACAAGTATGGTAATCGAATCTGTGTGTCTTGAATGAAAACACAAGTAGTGATGTTGGCCTTTATCTCTTTAAGCTAGATAGCTTATTGGGACGTCGCGGTCCCTGTTAAACAAATAGATCGAAATGGGTGGGTGGGGAGGGAAGTCCAGGTCACGTGTGTACTACTACTGCATGGTGGTTCGGTTTGCCTTTGTAGTTACATGAAGCCGAACGAATATTTTGGTGCAAGAATAAATAATTGCCCCTAAGAAATGAACCAGCCAAGGAAGAAGAAGCCAAACAAGGTGACTGAATCGGGGCAGAGTTTCCATTTCTTATGTATCGCCTTTGGGGTGGGTATTCGGTCGGTTCGATACCGAACCGAAATAATGCATATCGAGTTTCCGAATTTCATCAAACCCCAAATCGAATTCGAACCGAATTATAATTTGGTCGGTTGGTTCAAACCGAATTATGATTTGGTTCGGTTCGATTTTTCATACAAAATTGAATTTGTGAGGTTATCTTGTATTTTCTCTCTTTTAAATTACTTTTCACCTTAATATGAACAATAAATATGCAATTATATGCATAAAATCAAACATTTCAACACATAAGTCATAAAACACTAACATGATTCAAATATTTACGTCCTATAATAAGTGCAAACATAAAAATCCACCATTTGGAGCTTGCAATTATAGTAATTCGGTTATTCGGTTCGGTCGAAAGGACCCTAGTTTCTGAAATATGTCATTTTCCCTTCCGAATTCCGAACCGAATAACATTAATTTGGTTTCGGTTCGGTTTTACCAAACCGTATGCCCGCCGCTATGACGCCTCTCATTGCCTACTCATGTCCTATGAATGGATTGATATGAGTTTGAGTGCAACTGTCATTCATAATCATGTGGTGGATAATAATTGATTTCTGAATTTTCATTGTTATGGTGCTTAAAGATGGAAAATAGGACTCAATATTTGGGTATTTCACAAACCCAACTTATTATGTGTGAAATTATATTTGAGAAAATTTACTTTTGGGGCATATATTCATACCGACTCTTTAGTTTGGAATTAAACTGGACCCCATGTTATTGGATAGTCGAAAGAAAATAAAAACCCAATTCTAAATAAATTTTTGCATTCTCTTTATGTCCGAAACAAACAGAAAGGTGGAAACCAACATTAAAAGTGAATTGTATTACTTAATGAAATGATGGATATTTATACCTTCATGTGTACAATCGTCTTGATCTAAATCTATTGGAGTTCTGGGTAAGCTAGAATCAGAAACAGGTCACGAGGGGTTTTTTTAGTGTAAATGTGGGTAGGGACTAGGGAGAGTGGCTGATAGATAGAGGTGGCAATTGGATCGGATTCGTGGATTTGTGGATTGGATTCGTGGATCCATGGATCAAATGGATTGGATCCAATGGATTGGTGGATTCATGGATTGGATCCAATGGATTGGTGGATTGATCCATGAATCCAAATAACATCCAAGGTTTGGACCAAAATGTAAATTTTGAAAAGTTTAGGTACTAAAATGTCATAATGAAAAATTTTAGGTACCAAAATGTAATTTTCCAATGATATTTTTCGTATAAAAATATAAATTTTAGGTACCAAAATGTAAAATATAAAAAATATAGGTACCAAATCGTAATTTGTCATTTGGATCCATGGTTTGATCCATGAATCCACCAATTCAATTGAATTTGGATCAAATGGATTGGATTTAAATGGATTGGATTAGGTGGATAATTTGGTGGATGGATTGGATTGGATTCATGGATTTGGATCCTAATTGCCACCTCTATTGATAGATGAACCTGCAAAAGGAGGAAACATGAATTCCACTATCTAAGACACATGAATGCCACAGACCTAAAGGTCGAATGAGATGAGACCACCACCCTCCATATTCCCCTCCCCGCCTACCACCAATGGACAGGACAATGGTGTGTATTATTTATCTATCATGGACCTAGCTAGCTAGCTAGCTCAATTTTGCTATTCGACTCAGTCACATCCCCACATGTAACACAAGCATATGACGTGGTTAGGATTGGTTAGTGATTGAAACGAGTTCAGCGCTCTTCTCCTCCCACAACTCAATTGTCTCCTTATCACTTTGCACTACTGTACCCTTATAGAAGAATCCTAGATTTAATGAATTTCTTAACAAGAGAACACCATTGGATTGGATGCTGCTCTAGTAGTCACTCGAATACACAAAGTAAATAATAATTTTGTAATCAGAACGGTTTTGGGTGCATCACACATTGTGCCGTTGAAATATTGTTCTACTATACTATCACTATATATATATATATGTGTTTTCAACTTTTCATCGGTTAAATGCGAACTGCCTATTAATTAATTCACCTCCAAAAGTATAACAAGAAAGAATGATGTAAGAGAGAAAAATATCAAGGGAGAGAGAGGGAGAGAGAGAGAGAGAGAGAGGAGGAAAAGGCAAAAGTGTGGACATGATTTGTATTGTTTCGAGATTCACAAATAACAATGTGCAGCAGCGACTCAGTCTCTCAGTGGTCAGAGACAGACACTCTACTCTACTGTACTGCGCTTCTCCTTTCCCAGTCCCAGCTCAATCAATCAGCCAAAAAGTAAAAAACATAAAACCCAAAATTAATTATTTACCCTTCTCTCTCTGTCCCAACCATGGAACCAAACCAAACCAACCAGCAGCCAGTAAAAAATAAAAGAAAAGTTACTGTCTACCACCACCTTTCCCCCCTCTATAGTCTATAAATCACCTTCCCTTCCCTCTCCTCCTTTCTTTGCAAACCCCCAAACACTTCATCACAGTTCACACTCTCACCGTCTCTCTACCTTCCGATGACAACCCCGGCGGCTCTCCTCCTCTTCTCCCTCCTCCTCATCTTCCACAATGCAGGTAATTTTAAAACTTCCCCCCCCTTTCTTCTCCCATCAATTTTAATTCCCAGCTAATTAATCAACTAATTTTTTTGTTTCCCCAAATCTCGCAGTCGATGTGTCGTCAACGACGACGGTCACAATGATCAACAAATGCAACCACCCAGTCTGGCCCGGGATCCAGCCGGGCTCGGGAAGCCCAATCCTCGCCCGCGGCGGCTTCCACCTCCCGCCCAACAAGGCTCAAACCCTAACCCTCCCGCCCCTCTGGTCCGGCCGCTTCTGGGGCCGCCACGGCTGCTCCTTCGACGCCTCGGGACGCGGCCGCTGCGCCACCGGCGACTGCGGCTCCCTCTACTGCAACGGCCTCGGCGGCGCCCCGCCGGCAACCCTCGCCGAGATCACCCTCGGCCGCGACCAGGACTTCTACGACGTCAGCCTCGTCGACGGCTATAACATCGCCATGGCCATCACCCCTGTCAAGGGGACCGCCGGGAAGTGCAGTACCGCCGGGTGCGTGAGCGATTTGAACCTGATGTGCCCCGCCGGGCTGCAGGTGAGGTCGCGTGACGGGCGGCGCGTGGTCGCGTGTAAAAGCGCGTGCTCTGCTTTTAACTCGCCGAGGTACTGCTGTACCGGCGCGTACGGGAACCCGCAGACCTGTAAGCCGACGGCGTACTCCAGGATCTTCAAGGCGGCTTGCCCGAGAGCGTATTCTTATGCTTATGATGATCCCACCAGCATCTCTACTTGTACCGGCGGCAACTATTTGGTCACTTTCTGCCCTCCCCGCCGCCGTTGATCGGCTGGCTGTTTTTGTTGGGAGCTTTCGGTCTGGATCTTGGGTAGTAGTGTAATTTGCGCTAGTTTGGGGAACTTGTTGTATTAGTAATAATTTTGTTAATTTTGGAGATTTGTTATGCTGTACTGTATTAGTATTATTAATATATAGTAAGCTTGAATTTGTCGGAGTACTTATGTCGGTTGCTTGGGAAATGCTTGAGGAGTAATATGGTTTATTATTATCCTATATATTTTAATATTTTGATACGTTAATTATGTATCCAAAACTCCAAATTAATTAAGCATCCAAGGGCGGAATTAACATTTTGTACATAGCACAGGAAGAGGAGGTCTGGACTCTGCATGCGTTGGTCTGTTGCAGCGATTTTATCGGACTTAAGTTATGATGCTAGTGTTTTAGCGTTAATATTCACTATCACAAGCCCCGGACCGTTGGTTGGAAGAATTTTGTTGGAGAATATATTATATAATAATGGATATAGTAGATGATTTGAAATGCATGAAATTATTGTTTTATAACATAACATTTTTTAAAAATGATCCGACTATGCATAATGTTTTTAGACCTCCATGAAAAGATAACAAAAATATAATATAAGCATTACATATAATTATTGAATGAAAAAAATAAATATAACTAATTGTCATTCATTACTTAATTAAACCATATAGTTGAATATTAGAGTTGTTTCTCATAATACATACATAATCAACCTTTAGGATGAAAGAAAATGTATCATAGAGTTTAGTATGTCTTTTAAGTTTTTCTCAATAGAGAGCATTCTTTTTTACCACACTGTTGGTAATGAATCTGAAGTTGCTTGATTTTATAGCGGACATGATGCGGCTAAGCTATCGCTAATAGTTAATTAGACAATGTATTGTGTACGGACTTCCCAAATTATTCTCAGATCGCAGACATGTCTAGCATCAATGTAGTAATTTTCATGCAGCAAATATTTTTTTATGAAATAATTCAATAAATAAAAATTATGAAAATAATATTACATGAAATATATGTTACTCATTAAGTTTATGAATGAGGGGGTATGAGTAACATACATTTATTTTAAAAAGATAGAAGTCATAAAGTGTCTTTTGGGTTGCATGAGATCGCAGATTCTCATTATCCCTAACTGACTTATGCTTTTTTGCAATAGATAGTTCAAAATGTGCCTTAAAACTTTTGTTTCCACCAGTGTAAAAGAATTGTTTGCACCAAAGGATTGTAAAACCATATCGAAAAAGTTGGTAGTAGAGTATTTTATACTGAACTAATAATTTAACTATGGCTCAACCGTTTCATATTGCTAAATATCACCTATTGATTTCGCATATAATGTGAAGTTTTATGGTCTAACTACCGGTACGTACGATCTTTCAATACAAACTTCAAATAAAAAATTGCTAAAATATTGACATTATCAGATACCCCTTAAATCTCAGAAATTACAATAATCATATTAAGAAAAAAAACTTCCAAATGATAATATTGATTTAGGATTTTAAATTGAAATAGAAAAAATATGTCAAACATAATGTCATGTCCTAAAATAAATCAAAACTCAACATAATAGGGCCAAGAATATCTATTAAACAAAGGAGAAGGACAATTATTTCACACTACCTCATTTTCCTCCTCTTTTAAATGTGTCATCTCACACTCTCTTTGCCTTGCTCTTTGTTTTTCCATTTGTTCTTTCATATCTTTCTCTCAGCTTTGTATCTCACAACTCTCCCATTTTCCCTTCCTCTTTCTTCCCACCGCCTGGAATTGAGAGAATCCTAGAAACATCCCAATTAATTCTCCAATTTTGCGTTCGAAATGCTTCTTCTCCATTCACAGCCGATAGTGTGAATCAGAGCTCCTGAAACCTGGCGAATAGATGGTCGTTTATTCATCGACGGACACAGTAGCTTGATAGCTTGTGAATAAACTAATTATTAAAAGTGATAAAAAGCAGAACTCGTTAAACCAATCGAGTGAGTGTATAGTTAGTTCATTGTTTAAAGCCTTAAACCATTGTATTTATCTAAAGAATCAAAATGCATAATAAGGTTCATCTTCACTTTACAATTTACATGTATTTGTCGTACAAATTCATTACACATAAAAATGGTTTTGAACCGACGTCATATCAAATTAAATATCATCTTATGATTATTGGATCCATGTCAGATTTGCAAAAGGTCTAAGGCTATTGGTCAACCGGGCTGAAAATTAATACTAATCTAAGAATTATATAGGGCTTCCAAAATGTTCAATACTCCAATTCAATATGCATTATTCAAATAAATGATATATGAGTTTGAACCCTTCCTCAAATTTTGTAGACAAAAAAATCTCCCCCCACACACATTTGCAAAAAAATACTAAATCTCTATTTCTTCTTCACTTTACTTGCTTCTAAAATTATTGTTGACGTTGTTTGTTATTACTGCAAGTTGTAAAAAATACTTTTCAGCTATGAAGTTAATCAAGAACGATTTTATTATTGAATTTTTAGTTGTATACATTGAAAAATGTTTGAGTCTCAAAATAAACAATGAATATATTTTATAAACCTTTTAGAATATGAGTCGTCACACGTTGATGTGAGAAACTACTCATTAATTCAAATTTTATATGTTATTTTTAGAATATTTTGTTTTATTTTTATCAAATGGTGCATTTCTCCATAAAACATGAGTTCACCAATATAGACTGTGTGGTGCTCGCACTTGTGCGCGAGCGGTTGAAGTTTAAGTCTAGGTCGACCCATGAAGCATTCATGCTTGTACATGGCCGATCCATATACATTGTCTCATGTTATGCTCTAACTGTGTCATGCTAGCTCGATCATGTGCCTAGGTATAGTTATATGCATTATAGTAATTAAGTTTCTACCTATTCATAAAACCAAGGTAAAAACATTCATAAATGCACCGAGTATTTGATTTTAACTGCCCGATGAAATACTAATTTGAGTAAACTACTATTGATGTCACAAATAATAATTATACCTCTAAATCATACATAAAATATTTCATCACAAATATTAAGATAAAATTAATTATTATAAAGAGTAAAAATTGTATAATGAGGTTAATTATAACTCCTTTATATGTTAATGCCCTATAAATTGTTCAACGCATCCGATCCAAAACTAACGAAATGAACATCACATTAAACTCGATATCGTCTCATTATTGTCGGGTCCATTCATGCCTGATTAGCAAGAGTTTAACGTTTAACAGTTAATCAAGCTAAAATTTTAGCGAACCAGTCACCTGTAGTTTGTACAAAATATTATTGTTTCTTATTAGTTCTGAAAATTCATATTAATTACAGAATTTTACATTACTTTTGCTTATTCAATACTTTAGTTCGATATGCAATATTTTAAGCAAAGAAATTCGTGTTGTAATTTTAAGATTATCCGTCATTTTATAGGTTATAAAATTTATAAATCACGTATTAAATTTTTATTTTTACCAAATAATGAGACGATAATGAGACGATATCCAAAAAATCCAGAAATACCACTTATATCCATGTTTTAAAGTTGTTCTTTACCAAATCTATCCACTTCCGTTAAATACTTTGACGGCGTTAATAACTCCGTCAACATAGTTGACGGCAAACTGACTGTGCGCCAACTAAGTGGACACATAAGCGCCAACTACGCCAAAGGTGACACAGAAGAATTAAAAAATAATTTAATTTTTTAATAAGAAACCAATCCCACATATACTCACTGATGACGAGCACATTCAGTCCCCCTTTCTCCTTTCGTTTTTAGGGTTCGCACCCTGGTGGCGACAGAACCTCCACTTGCCGACTAAACCTCCTCCCGACGATTGAAGATCCTCACGATGAGTGAAGATTTTTGATTCGTGGATTCTGGCGATTTGGCGACTCCTGGGATTCTGGCAGATTTGGCGATTGGCGATCGGCGACCCAGCTTTCCATTTGTCGTAGACGATTAGCTTCTTTGCTGATTCTTGTCTCTGCCGAGAATTAAGTCGACGTCCCGCCATGTCGAAGAGATGTTCTTCTTCAACTTCGACACAAGGTCATGGGGTGGTAGTTTGCAAACACAACATGGTCTGTGTGGTTAATACCTCTGGTACGGAACTAAACCCAGATAGGCAGTTCTATGAAAAATAGCAAAAAAGAACATAACCTCCGCTACGACGAACATAAGAAAACCATATCAAGCTATGATCCTGTCATCCCTACCCTTTTATTCTCCATAAAGGGGGAGGCGGGAGAGGATAAGATATAAATAGCAGGATCTTAGGAGTTGCCTCTTTATATATTACATATAGAATGATAGACAACCCCAACGGTTGTCTGATGTTATGTGGGTAAAAGCGGGATCTCTATCCCGGGGGTGGGGGTAGGCAAATAGTACTTTTAATATGAGTATTAGGCGAGATAAGATAGGTCTGACGAAATATCTTAATAATTTTGAGTCTACTACACACACACACACACACACACATAATATCAAGGTATGCTATACTTTTGATTTTTCGCTAGATACGATAGAAGATAGGTATGACGAAGTATGTGCATAAATTAGAGGTTAGAGAATTAGGGATTGGAGTTCACATATTAGAGGTTAGGGTATAGTATCATGCCCCAAAAAACTCAGGTTAATTCGAGGTTTAAATAGTAAAACTCAATGGTCGTATGGTAGTGTGAATGCAAGAGTATAGCATACTCTTGGCCCACGCTCGCTTGAACTATATATATATGTGGTGGTATATTCGGTGCACTCACTTTTTTGGGTGCATTCAATGCATTCGTTTCATAATCGTCATTCCGAGCATGTGATTCATGTTAAAATGGTATCAATCGTCGCTTATGGTATTATGAACAAGAAACACATGAATTTCCAAAAAACACATTCAAGATTGTCTTTAAATTGAAGGATTTAGGGATTTAGGGTTAGGTTTAGCGTTTATAATATGGGATTTTGGGTTTGTGTTCAAAATTGAAGGTTTAGGGGTTAGGGTAATGGATTGATTAGTTGTGACCATATGTTATATCATCATATCAGACTAATGTTACCAATTAACATCCAAAATTGATGTCTTCGGGCTACTCTTAGAGATGGAACGTGACAATGACATGATTTATTATTAGAAAACCGAAGCATCACAAGTGAGTGTGCTCAATATTGGAAATTTTCAATATAGACATACTACAAACTCTGTTATAAATCAAGAGCACAAAATATT